TTAAATACAAACCCAATGGTGAAGTGGATCGTTACAAAGATAGATTGGTAGCTAAGGTTTTTACTCAAGTTGAAGGAGTTGATTTTCATGAGACTTTTGCACTAGTTGCCAAACTTGTCACAGTACGTTGCTTGTTGACTATTGCGGTCAAATGTAACTGGGTGGTTCATCAACTTGACGTTAACACTGCTTTCATTCATGGCGATTTATCTGAGGATGTGTATATGCGTATCCCACAAGGATTCGTGAAAAATGGTGATACTCGTGTTTGCAAGTTACATAAATCTTTGTACGGATTACGTTAGGCTTCTCGTAATTGGTATCACAAATTCACTCAAGCCCTCACCCGGATCGGCTTTCGCCAATCAAAGGCAGATCATTCTCTATTTGTTTTTTTGCCAGGGCCCCATAAACACCTTTGCACTTATCTATGTAGATGATGTTATCCTGGCTGGAAATAATATCTCTCATATCACCACAGTCAAGAGTTACTTGGACACCACTTTTAGCATTAAAGACTTGGGAAAATTAAAATACTTTCTTGGCATTGAAGTTGCTCGTTCTCCCGAGGGTTTCGTTTTGAGTCAACGAAAATATACCCTTGACATTTTAAAAGAAAGTGGGTTCTTAGCGGGGCGTCCCGGTCTGTTCCCTATGGAGCAAAATTTAAAACTTTGCCCCAATGATAATGGCCCCCTTGTGGATGCCTCCTCTTACCGACGCCTGATTGGTCGCTTGCTTTACCTCACAGTGACCCGACCTGATATTGTTTACTCGGTCAGCCAGCTCAGTCAATTTCTTAGTAGCCCACGACAGTCACATCTCGATGCTGCTATCCGTGTTCTACAATATTTAAAATAGACACCTGGGCAAGGAATTTTTTTATCATCCGATAATGATATTGCCCTAAATGGATATTGCGATTCAGATTGGGCAGGATGCCCCTTTACCCGATGTTCTAGTACTGGATATTTTATCACCATTGGTAGCTCACCAATATCTTGGCGTACAAAGAAACAGTCTGTTGTTTCTTGTTCTTCCACTGAAGCAGAATACCGTGCTATGGCTGTCACAGTCAGTAAGATATTATGGTTACGTTGGTTACTCCAAGACCTCACAGTTAACCAGATCGGGCCTACTCCCCTCTACTGTGATAATCAAGTAGCACGACAAATAGCGCTTAATCCGGTGTTCCACGAACGCACCAAACATGTAGAAATGGATTGTTACTTTGTGAGAGAGTGGGTGGCTAGTCATGAAATCCAACCACGCTCAATTCCTACTGAAGCACAAGTGGCAGATATTTTTTCCAAAGCACTCGGTACAGATCGTTTTCAATTCCTCCGGAGCAAGCTGGGTGTTCGTAACCTCCACACGACCACACTCCACCTTGAGGGGGAGTATTGAAGATATTATTTTATTTGCATTATTACATGTAGTGTGACCTTCCCTATAGCATTTGTACGTGGGTGTCATATGCTATATGCCTCATATCCATGCACATGTGTATTTGTCTTCCACCACATGCATTTGTCTTTCTTTTTATCATGCATGAACGTAACCCAAGCCATGTATCATATAAGGATACGCATACTCAATAATACGTAAGTGAAGTATCATGTTTAATAAGAATTCTTCCCTTCATATTTTCTCTGCACGTATTCATATTAATTTTATCAATTAACACCACAAATTTACATTTTTGAAATAAAAAACACATGATTCTGGTGCTAAAATAACTTTTTGTATAAAATTTGGGATATTTTAATTACATATGAAAGTTTGTGATGTTTATGTCACACACATTGTGTGATGCAAATAAGGCAAATGCCTAGGGCACCATCATTGTGTAGGGCACCACATAAAAAATATGTCTAGTACGTACATAGTATAATGTATACTCAAAAATCTCCATAGTTAAAATTAAATATGTATTACTTCCATTTGTTTTTAGGTGCAATAGGTTGAATTTTACATCATTCACATATCTACTTTGACTAAATTTTATTTATCAATGCATTGTAAACTTATTTTTTGCAAAATGTTTTTAAATATCTCTTATTAAATTATCAAAATCTGATGTTTATTTATATTTACTAAAAGGAAATGAAATATATTAATGATCAAACTTGTCAATTGACAAATGTGAAAATGCAAATATTGCAATAAAAATAGAAACTACCAAAATTTAAATAAAAAGTGATAATATTCACTAAGACCAATCGGTAAGACCCTTTGGAGTAGTGAGGTATTAGGAGTCCAAAATGCTAAATGTGGAATTTTGAGACTCCTAATTGTGTGTAGTGGTGGTTTAAAATGGGTAGTAAAAGTGGGAAAGGGGATGTAGGGTGTTAAATATAGAGGGCGAGTTTAGAGGAGTGGATAAAAGAAAAAATTAAAGAAAAAAGAAAAAGAAAGGCACCACATAACCCTTGCATCATTATATCCCAATTTTTATTAAACTTGCATAACTTTTTTATTTGTCATCTAAATTTTTCCAAAAATATATCAAGATTCATTAATTTTTATGATCTTTTATATGACATCCATATGTGATATATAAAATGATTTTTTGAAATTGTAACTGTTGCAGTTTCTTGAGCTAAAAAAACGAAACACAAATTTTTAATTCATGGAGCCTTCACAAATAACTGAATAATCTATAATCGAACTTCACTTAAACAAATTCATTTTTTAACCAAAAAATGTTTAAAAAAAACTATGAAAAATATTTTTTTATATCAAAATGTGTATTTTTTATTGCATAATTATTCAGGGGAAAAATTAAAAGTAAAAACATTACTTATAATAATTTAATTATCAAAATGTTTTACTAAATTCATATGTAAAAAATATGCAGAGTGTATTTTATTGACAGTGCACGGATGTGGGAAAAACTGTATTGACGGAATCTAAACAGTGTTTTCATATGAACGGAGTCCAAATTTAACTATTTGGACACTTACAAATGGTCTAATCAGACAAACTCTTTCATGCCAATTCTTCATTGATTGGTACGTATAATTACAAAGACTAAAGATCATTCCCAATAAATCATGTGTCAAATCTATCAAATTTCTTTTTTCAGAATTATTTTTTTTCAATTTAAAAAATGGGAGACCGTCAATAGCGAAAATGATATCTTATGTCTAACAATTTTCACCAATACGAAGATCTAATTTAGTTTTGGACCATTCTTGGTGTACACAAGACGTACACAAAATGTGTACATTGTCTGTGTACACAGACATTTGACATCAAGTCCTGCCACTTTTTAAATGAATTGCCTGTGTACCGCCTTGATTATTTTTCCCAAAAATAAACACTTTCATAAGATAGATCGGCGCTGCCTGAATGACATTTTTTAACAGGAGTTCACACCCTGCCCTCAAAAATCTAGGACATGTTTACTTCACCGGTTATTAAACGGTGCTTATTAAGACCCGTGTTAATAAGTGGCGCATAAAATAAACAATGTTGTAAGACCGTGTTTACTTCAAACGGTTTAAAACACCGCTTAACATTAAAATGTCCAAAATAACCCTATACATATATATACACACAAACATTCATGAACACAAGTATATAATATAATATGTGTACCCATACCCCTAACCCCTTACCCACCCTACCTTACCCCGACCCCACCCACCGCCTACCCCTACCCTACCTACCTGACCCCATCCTACCTACCCGACCCTACCCCTACCCGACCCCACCCTAACCTGTCCCCACCCTACCACAACCCTACCCCGACCCCATAGGCCCCTACCCCCATAGGCCCTTACCACATCGACCCCACCCCGACCCCACCTTACCCCAACCCCGCCCCTACCCCTACCCTACCCAACCCGGGTAGTGGTAGGGTGGGTTCGGGTAGGTAGGGTGGGGGTTGAGGCGGGGTAGGGTAGGGGTAGGGTCGGATAGGGTAGGGTGGGGTCGGGTATGTGGTAAGGGGTGGGGTAGGTAGGGTAAGGGTAGGTGTGTGGTCGGGTAAGTAGGGTAGGGGGATTGGGTAGGTAGGGTAGTGGTAGGGTGGGGTCGGGTAGGGGTAGGACGGGGTAGGGTTGGGTTGGGTCAGGGTAGGGGTAGGGGTAAGGTGGGGTAGGGTAGGTGGGGTAAGGGTATGGGTGGGGTCGGGGTAAGGGTAGTGTAGGTGGGGTAAGGGTAGGGTGGGGGTCAGTTAGGTAGGGTAGGGGGTGTCTGGTAATGGGGTAGGGTGGGGTCGGACAGGTAAGGTAGGGGTAGGGTGGGGTCGGGGTAGTGGTAGGGGGTCGGGTAGGTAGGGGTAGGGTCGGGGTAGGTAAGGGTATGGTGGGGGTCGGTTAGGGGTCGGGGTGGGGTAGGGTAGGTGGGGTGGGGTCGGGGGTAGGGTCAGGGTAGGTGGGGTCGGGGGTGGGGTGGGGTTGGGGTAGTGGTAGGGGGTCGGGTAGGTAGGGGTAGGGTCGGGGTAGGTAAGGGTATGGTGGGGGTCGGTTAGGTAGGGTAGGGGTGGGGTCGGGGTGGGGTAGGGTAGGTGGGGTAGGGGTGGGGTCGGGGGGTAGGGTCAGGGTAGGTGGGGTAAGGGTAGGGGGAGGGTGGGGTCGGGGTAGGGTGGGGGTCGGGGTAGGGTGGGGCAGGGATAACAATAGGTTAAGGGCAAGGGGTAAATTCGGAAACTGAAAAAGCTTAAAGTGCCGCTTAATTAATACATGGGGGGGTGGTATGCTTAATAAGCGGCACTTTAAGCACCTCTTTCGGTTAGTAAGCGGCTTTTTAAGCAGTGTGCGTGTTTACTTTACCTGTCTTACTAACCTAACTGTGACTTTAGCAATGAAGTAAACACCTCCCTATTGTTCGAGCAATCGAGTCCTCAAGAATCAACCCACTTTTTAAGTTTTTATTTCTATTTTAGAGATAGAAATAAAAAATAGAATCAAAATCAACCCCTACACGCCTAGAAACAGCACTCTAATTTTCCCGCTCTTTGGAGCTGCATATCGTTTTCCGTTTTCTGACTTATTTTACTGAGTATGTTCTAACTAATTTCTGAGGTCGCATTTCGAAACCGGAGTTGCTAAAGCTGGGAGTTTATTTTACTTCCAGCGTCGATAATGGGGGATGCGAAGCGCTGGGACGTGACGTACACGAAGCACATCAAGCAGAAGCGCAAAGTGTACCAAGACGGTTTTCTAGAGGTTCACTCTTCAAGCCACAAGGCAAGTCATTCGTGTATTCCTACTTTGGCTCTTTTGTTTTGCTTACTTTTGTTTCCTGTGCGGAAATTTAACTGCATGTTCCGTGTAATTCCTGCATCATCTCCTTCATCGAACTAGTTTTATCCTCTCCTCTTTCCCAAATTCGAAGTTAAAGTTGAGCAGGGTTGATTCCCCTGAGCCGAGCGTATTATTGGCCATCCGTATGCACTTATTTAGTAATGATAGTGTATATAGGCAATGATGTGTATACAAATCCAAACAACATTTCACATAATGTTTGTTCATAACTCACATGAAACAGAACACAATTATGTATTGGTTGTTGTTGATAAGATTTCATTTGAAGTCATTACAGGGATGGTTGAGCAGTTGTTCTTATCACTTTGTTATGTCCTCTAAGAATCATTTCATTAATAAAGAAAGGCCCGCAATGGTATTTATTATGCCACTATGTGTGTTTAAGATGTTTTCTTATTTTATTTATTTATTTATTATTTCCTTAAACAGGTTACTCTCTATGATGATTGTGAGAAGGTTTTGGGTAGTAAGTTTATGAAGATTGAAAGTAATGTTAAATCAGGCGAAACACTAGCATTTGATTCTTTCCTTGTTGATATTGGTGATCTACATGGTGAACACAAGCCCACAGGAAATGAAACTTCTGAGGCAAGGGATAAGAATATTGATATGAAACCCCGATCATTTCACAACCCTAAATTCAGGTATAGCTCAGTTGTTGGTACTCATCTTTGTTACTATCTTGTCTTCTATGCTGTTTGGCCTTTAAACATCTTTCTCATTGCTTAGTGTTACACCAGAGGACAGGAAGCCATATGTCAGGGAGAAGAAAGCATTGACAAGTTCTCTAAGCCCATCACAGAAACTAATAAGAGGTTTGTCAATATTTCTCTCCCTGGTGTTCAATCATCCATGTTTAGCTTTTAAATTTTTTTCATTTACAATCATTTCTCCCATAGGGAAGAGTGCTTTATGAATTTTGGGGTTTTTACTATCACATTATATCTGCCACAACTCTCTCCTCAAGTTTATAAGTGATAAGACTATACGAGCACATGTTAATTGTGAATTGTGATACTACCTCTGCTCTTTTAGTTGCAACATTGGTGATTTTGCACTATTCACATATTCTATTGTGACTTCATTTTATTTATTAATGTATTATAAATTAATTTTTTAAAAAATATTTTTAAATTCCTTTCATTTTAAATTTTCAAAATATGAATTTATTAATTTCAAACTTGTGCATGGCAAACGTGAAAAGTGGACCATTGCAATTAAAAAGAACGGAGGAACTGAGGAGGTATGAGTTTGCATCTTTTCCATTTTCCACTCAACTCAGTTCTCCTTTTAAGAGCAGGATTAAAGTCAAAAGGGTAAACAGTAGAAGTTCACATATAAACCTAGGGCGTGATTTAATAATCTAATGGTTAAGAGGAGTGACTGATGTCCCTAAATTTCAGAGTTCAAGAAAGTTGAGGTGCAGAAGTATAGTTCTTCTCCAAGTTGTCTTGATACTACAAAATCCTGGGATGGAGGTAGGCTAGAAAATCTAAAATTGCTTCACATGTATGTAAAAATCTCAGTTCTTCTGGTTTTATTCTTTTGACTTTCTTCTATTTGCTTTTGGTAATTGCAAATCATGCAGTTTTTTTCACTCTTTTTTTAAAGAATGGCAGGTCTTGTACACCACTCAATTAACTCAAAAAGCTAAGAAATTCCATGATGGTTTTTTACAAGTTTCGATGAGTGGTTCACAATGCAAGCAGGTTGATTTTCTCATTTGTTTGTGACCGGCTGCCTAATGCATTCTCTATTTTCTGTATCAGCTTCTCAATTAGCTTGCATTTACTTAATATTCTCAGATTTTAGTTCCACACTAGGGGTGAAATATTATGAACTTAATATGTAGTAGTAGCTCAGACAATCACACATTCATTATCAGTTGCTACTTTTGTGTTCTGCCAGGCCATGCTCTATGATGCCGCCAAAGGACTCTTAAGTAGCAGGTTTCTGAAAGTGAGTGAAACTATTCAGTGTGGCGAATCAATAACTTTTGATGGTTTCTTAGTAGAGATTGGAGAATGTGAAGGAAATCAAAAGCCTCTTCTAGACTCAAGTTTTCAAGGAAGAAATATTGGAGTGACACATGATCAAATACACTGTCAGCGTACCTCTCCTTCTGGTAGAATAATCACCTACGCAGTTTCCATTTAATGAAGTGCCTGATCATTCATATTTTTGTTTTCTTTGTAGTGCAGAAGCTACTTGTATTAGTCTATTAGAAAAGTTACATTCTCCATCCCACTAAACTTTGCCAACTTTCCTTATTCGGGTTCTCAAAAACTTTGACAATTTTCCTTTAATGTAACAAATTAGTGGTTAACATTATTTCTCCCTCAAACACACAATTGTAACTTTCTTATTCTACGACTCTACATTATAGGCAGACTTGGATAAGCTTAGTGAGATGGATGGAGTATAATTTTGCTAAAATATTAAATTCCTAAATTACTTTGGTGCCTATTTGTAGCTTTCCTGTGGTCTCACTCTCACACATGACCATGCACTACACTTTGACTTAATTTTGTATATACTCTGTAGTCTGTGTTATATACAATTATGGGAGAGAGACAATAATACACCCCACCTGTTCTTTCCACGATGTACTAAGTTCTATAAATGCAGAATGGTATGTCATGTACACTTCTCAGTTAACTCAGAAAAGAAAGAAGTATAATAGTGGAGTTCTCAGACTCTCGTCTTGTGGTTCCTTTCAATCTCAGGTCAGTTATATTTGAATCCACATTCGCCATAATATTTGATTGTGCTAGTCGTCTTTGAAGAGTGTGTGCCATAAGTGATTAATTGTTGCTTTCCCCAAATCCAAAGAGCCTGTCTAGTAAAGAGTAAAATACATTCATTTATTAGCAAATCTGAAGTTATATCTGAATCAACTCCATATGCAATGCAGGTCACCCTGCTCACAGAAGGGGGAGACATACTAGGTCGCAGGTTCCTCAAGTCATCTGAACATGTGGAAACTGGAGCTACATTAAATCTTCCAAATTACTTAGTTGAAGTTGGCGAAACTCACACAGTTCTAGAAGGTCTTTTTCTGTTGTGCATGGAAAAACGTTCAGTTCCTATATATGATGTTTTTTGCAAAATATATACAATATGAATTAGCATCTTCGTTGGCACTCTTTGTAGTAATTGGGTTGTTGGCCTTAGTACCTTAGGGACTATTTGGTTTGAGTGTTGAGGAGTGTTAGTAATAGAAGTGTTAAAGAGCATTGACCTTAACACTTGTTTACAAACATTTGGGGTGTTAGTAAAGGTTTGGGGGTGTTAAGCATAACCTTCCCAACACCTTTTCATTTAAAATATATATTCCTCGGTTGGCCTCTCCTGCACTTAATTTTTTCTTTTCTTTCCTGTTTCTCTTGTCTAGTTTAGTTTGGACTCACCTTCAATTCTTCCCTCAATTCTCCGTTATGTTTTCGTATAGGTATATATTGCGAAAAGTATATGTTTTCATATAGTGTAGGGGTAATATATATGTAGTATATTTCTTTAATTTTTCTGCCATGACGTTGATTCACTGTGCCTCCCCTTTCAATCTGTACTTTTGAATACTATAATACGGTGATACTACTACGTATTCTATAATGGAGCATTACAATAATACGGTGGTATTTTATAATGGAGCATGCAAATAAGTTATTTTAATTAAATATTTAAATTTAAAAGGTATGGGATATTTTTATCAATTTACTTGAAAACACTTAATGTCTTGCACTTACCTTCCCGTCCAGACATGTGTCAACACTTATTAACACTTCCATTACTAACACCTCCCAAGTCCCAACACTCCATCCAAACAGGCCCTTAGAGTTATGCTACTTATAGCTCTTATGTTAGTATTAGTATCTAACCGTGAACATGTTTTTGTTCTGTTTGAATACATAGAACCTCAACATGGCGCTTATGCCCATAAAGATACTGTTTCAATCACAAAAAGATTCAGTGTAAACAATAGCAAGTTCAGCAGGGGCATCTCTGCAAACAATTCTGCTCTTGAAAGCAATTCAGAAACTTTGCACAGTAAGCATTAATGAATCTGTAAACATACTAAGTTTCCTCTCTTTTTGGCTTATTCTTCCATTCATTGCTTGTGGAATCCAAATTCCACAAGGCTCAATATACACATTCATCTGAAGAGTATATAACTGCTGCTTGATGTAGTCATCAGTAGTATACCTATGCAGTGGTAAAACTATATGGTGAGAATGTGAGATGATGTACCCTCATCATAAGCTACCTAAAATAAATACTCCCTCCATCTTATATTATGTGTCTTATTTTTCTTTTTGGACTGTCCCAAAATAAATGTCATATCTCCTATTTTGGTAAGAAATATATGGTTCATATAGTTTCACTTTATTCTACTCAAACCTCAACCACAACTTTAATAATAATTGTGTCAAATCAAAACAAGACACATAAAATGGGACAAAGGTGGTATCCAATATACTTTATGGAAAATTAGTACTCCAATATTTTCAGGTTACCATTTTACTGTGGCATAAATTATGCCCAGTGCCCCAATGAAATTTGTATTGAGCTCTCAGTATTACATTTTTAACAATTTCAGGCAAAGCTCAAAATAGAACATCTCTGAAAGAGGGAGTGAATTTGAACCCTAGAAACTCCAGTTTCGCAAATTCTACCATCGGCGCTGAAGTTTCCAAGAAGCATGTACGTGCTGGTAAGCTGTGATACCCCACTGTTCTTTAGCTATTTTTTCTTTGTACTTTGATACATGAGGACCATTGAAGCAAGGAATCAGATTCTTGGTTAAAGTTTTGAAGTGTAGTCTAGATCACAATAGACCCTATTGATTTTATTTAGTACTAGTAGTTTTGTGTGGGGGGGAGGGGGGTGACTATAAAGTTACCCCTCTGTATGTATACTCACTAAAGTCTGCACCTCTTTGCAGCTTGTGAAATCTTGTGTAATCTAAAGAAACCCATTATTTCGGGACATGTTTCAAGGGAAGGTGCCTCTCCTGATGAGATCGAAACAATGCAACCATCAGATCACAAGAGACTTCGCAAAGAAGAAGATGAAGAAACCATCATTACAGATACCACAAGCTGCAAACCTATAGCTGTTGAATCTACTGTTTACTTTAGAGGCAAGCTCAAGTTCTCTTTTGCCTTATTAATGAATATGTACGTGGAAGTGCCAAACTACTAGTACCAAACCCACTTAAGAGACTTTTTTTAGTCAGTGGAAGTGCTATGGTTTGATCGTGTACATGTGCAGAAAATCTAACTGGAGAGATACTTGGAGCAACAACAAATGACCTACTCCCTAATTTTTCCAAGATGGTAAACATTAGAAACATAAAAACACTTTTTATCATACCTTTTCCTCTTCTAATTGCTTACTTTTGCTATTATTTTTAAAACAGCATCCTTCCTCCTCACATGAAAGTTCTGTAGAAATAGGAATACCAGATGGAAAAGAAGAGGAAGGGAACGTAAGATTGGAAACAAAAAGAAAAGAAAAGTCCTTTGAATTTGCTTTAGAGGTGATGCAACATTGTCAAGAGACAAAGGAGTGTGAAGTAGAACCACTCTGTCCTTCAAAATCTCAGTCAAGTGCCCTTGAAGTGGCTGTCCTTCGTGATACCGAAGACAATGTTGAGCTCAACACCGGTGGAAGTAAAGACGATGGGTTTCCAAGTTTTGATCTCGGATTTTGAACTCAACCAGTACAAACTAATAAGCTTCATTTATAAGTGGCCATGTGGGCCATAACCATTTATAAAGTCCATAGCATTTGTAATATTCACAATATGGCAATTTTCAGAATAATTTTACAGTAAGTGCCAAAAAATACCCTATTTGAGTTTAGGATAGTTACAAACATGATACCCCATGAGTGTTAGCCATTGATTAGAAAAATGGAAAGTAGAGATTATAATTTCTCACGATAAAAGGTCTTGTCACAATAAGAACTTTTAATATCTATATATATCACTGCATCTTGTGGTGTTCCAAATGAGAAGGGTTATCTTGAAGAACAACACATGGGCTGGCTAAAATATACACAAAATAATCCATGCTGAAATGAAGAATCTTGATTCCTTTTTTCACCTCTTATCCTGGTAACTGGATGCTACTCCTTTTTTTGACTTATGGATGTTAAGCAACGCTTTCAGCATATGTTTAGCCTTTTTAGATTGGAGTTCCAAATCTTGTGGATCGTGCCTCGCTTGATTTGTATTTGCATGAACCATTCTCCTAGGCGCTGATGGGCACTGTCATTTCACAAGTTAAAGCTATTAGTTCTCTATATGGAGCATCTCTTAGCTACTCTGATCAGAGATAGGTGATAATATTATGAAGCATTACCCGTTGTTGATTGTAAGGAGTGGGAGAATCCGATCTATTGGCATATGATCCCGATCGCTTAATCATAAAGCGAAGTGGAGAATGTGACCGCTTCTCTGATTTGGGATTGTCATGTTGATGTTTAGAAATGTCACTATATTATGCTGCCACTACAAGTAACAATATCTCAATCTGTCTATGCATGTGTTGAAACTTACCAACTTCCTTGGTAGGTGCATTCCTCATAAAAGAAAATGCCTGAGGATTTGGATTTGGTGAGGCTTCTATTGATGATGGCTTGGGATTTCTTTTCCTGCAACGTAATTATATTCCCTTAGCTGCTACAACATGTCTACAACTATTCACAATTATAAAAAAGTATTAAACTTGAAATTAGAATATTAGAAATTACATATACTCTAAGCATCTAGTAAGGTGTATACATAGTCCCTTTTAGTCCATTATAGGCCTCGCGACGGCCTGGGAGGTCTTCTCTGCTCGCGGTGATGATTTGTTCCAGCGTAGAAGGTCTTCAAGTGTAGAGGGAAAACCGAAAAGATTTGGTCACATTATGGTTTAAAAAAAATGATCATATTTTTGTTCAATGAAAGTTGGGGAGTAATATTTGTGACATTCTTTTCCACAAAAATGTTATATAGGGTTACAGCCTATATAAACTTTACCCAATTTTTTTAACCTTCCCTCCCCTGCTCTTTCTATGATACAAATCATATTCTTTCAAATTCTGTTTTTGGATTTTCAACCGCAGTCCACAAAACAGTACCCACAAATCTAAAAGATGAGATTTGGCAATTGGCACAGAAATCAGCTAAAAAAACACGCATTATTTTAAAAAACACGCTTTTGATTACAGAGTATTTTAAAAGAAAACACGCATTATTAAAATTCACCATCTAATAGAGGATGTTATATAGTGGAGAAGGTGATTTCTTTCAATTTCAAATATCAAATATCAAAAAGCCGACGAACCAATTTTATGGAGACACGCCACCGTTGTGAAGTGATGTCAAATTTAATAAAAATTGGATATATGAAACAAAAGATTAGAATACTTGTTCTCATAAAAGAAAAGAAAAAAAGAAAAATAATTTGCGTTGATCGGTGAATAGTGGACAAAAAACTTTGAATTGAAACATGCTCCGTGATGTGTAAAATGCATAAATGGTACCTTAACTCTTAAATGAATATAAACAATACTTTAATTATACATAAATGTTTCGAATTGAGATTTTAATCAAATTTTCGACCAAAAAATCTTTCATGATGATCAAAATTTCATGTATAGCGTCACCCTATAGTGATCATATGGACAAAAATATGGTGAAGTAAACTTTAAGCATAGAATTTTGGCTGCCACGTGATTTTTTGGTCAGAAATTTGAATAAAATCTCAATTTGAAACATTTATGTATAGTTAAAACACATTTTTGATTCATTTAAGAGTTAAGGTACCAAAAAGCAACATTACCAATAGTTACAATATATAGATTTCACTCGCTCCGTGATAGTAGCTAGAACCGCCGATGAGTCTATGGAGGTGTTTGGCAATTGCATGTTGGCTGTTGGGCGTTGATTGATCTTGTTGGCTGATTGGTGATATAGGATTTTGTTGACTGTTTTGATTAGCTAATAGTGTTAGCAGTTTATAAAATAGTGTTTGGTTAAACGGCTGTTTACAATCGGTAGATAACTTGTTAAATTACTTTTAAGGACATCAATTAACTTTTTTTGTTAATATTATTAGTACAACTACTTAAAAATTAGATTATGATCTAAAAAATAATAAAATAATGAAAACAAGTAATAATTATTTTAACATCTTTTGCTGAATCTGTTATGGCGCGTTGCACCAGGAATTATGGAGCGTTTCCACTCCAAATTTTATTGCGGTGATTTATACTCCGAATGATTTATATGCATTATCATTTATGCTTTTGTCTTTATATTCTCAAGTTGGACTTAGGTTCAAGGGACAACCTTCGTGTGTAATAACCTAGCATTCAATGCTCTGCTTTTTTTATTTTAAGTTGAAGAGGAGAATGCAACGCACGAAGAAGAGAACACGGCTTGGGTAGAATAGGAATATATAGGCGTAATGTTCAAACAGCCGGTAGCTAAACGCTGGATTTATCAGCCTTTTGGATTTTGGTTGTTTTGGATAACAAGCCAAGTGAAAAAGCCAACTTACCAAACACTTCAATTAACTGTTTATCTGATCAAAAAGTCAAATATTGGTCAAATCAGCCAAAATATGATTGATAGGCCGCTAACCAAACACCCCTATGACAGTTTAACAGAAAATCTAATACGTAGTACTACGTTACTACAATTGAATAGAACTTGAAATAAAATGTACTGCACTACTTTTTTACGGATTTATTCATTATCCTTTTATCTTCGTCACTTCTTTTAGGGGTAACATTGTCCCACCTTACTTTCTACGAAAGACATTATAACGATATTTTCTTTTGGGTTCTTTTCAATCACAAACCAAATCAAATCAGATCAGATCAAATTTAAACAGAACATACTTAGAAGTCAAACCAGACCAGATTTGAAAAATTATACTCCCTCCATCCTATTGGGCTTTGCCAACTATCCCTTTGTTATTGTCCCTCAAAAAACTTTGTCACTTCCCTATTAAAACAACTAATTTGTGGAACAACTAATTTGTGGTTCTGTACATTTATCTCTCTTTTGCACAAATCTCAACCACACAGTTTTTACTATTCTTATTTCTCACCTACTTTGCACTTGACAAAGTCTACCGGGACGGAGGTAGTAAAATACATAGGACGTGTTTCCTTCGTTGCTAAATTCACAATTAGGTTAATAAGACATGTAAAGTAAAGATGCAAGTTGCTTCAAAAACCGCTTACTAACCGAAAGAGGTGGTTAAACTGCCGCTTACTAAGCATATCACCTCAGTATGTATTAATTAAGCGACACTTTAATCTTTTTCAGTTTCCGAATTTACTCTTACCCTATTGGTACCCCTCTACCCCGATCCCTGCCTTACCCAACCCTACCTTACCCCGGCCCACCTCACCCCACCCCAAAACCTACCCTACCCCGATCACACCCCTTACCCCACCCCCACCACTTGCCATTACCTCGACCCGGCCCTGACCCCACCCCTGCCCCCTCCCCTACCCTAACCCCCTGACCATACCCCAACCCTTACCCCTACCCTACCCATAGCCCTTACCACCCTACCCCATCACCCTCGCCCTACCCCTTTAAACCCCGGACCCCTACCTATCCACTCCCCACCCCTGTCCCTCCCCCTAACCCCCGACCCTACCCTTTTACCCTCTACCTCGATCCCACATTGACCTCGACCCCACCCCTACAGGTATGCGGGTTGTAGGGAGTAGGGTTTGAGTGTAAGGTCGTGGTATGGGTAGGGGTTAAGGGGTAGGGGTTAGGGGTTTGGGTACGTGTACGAGGTGAACCCCACGTATTATATTATATACATGTGTTCATGAATGTTTGTGTGCCTATATATGATAGGGTTATTTTGGACAATTTAAGTAAACGATTTTAAATCCTTTTAAGTAAACATGAGCTTACAACACTACTTATTTTATGCGCCGTATTAACGCGAATCTTAATAAGAACTGTTTAGTAACTTGTGAAGTAAACGTGTACATAGAGACCAAACATTTATTTAACCAAATCGTACTAAACTTAAATAGACTAGATCAGACCAGATCAAATCAAATCAGACCAATACATTTCACTTCAATTCAAGGTGGATATAGGGGGGCCTCTGGGAAGGGAAGGATCCTCTTTCCCTTCAAGTGACAAGTATCTTTATCCACTTTCAGCCTTATGGACCCAACCTTGTTCCCTAGTGAGTCGTCACTTTCCATTTTTAGCCTTACACATCACGATTATGACACAACTTTCTTGCCAGGTTCCACGTTTTTAAAGTATGTCTATGCGTATTTATTTTAAATCGAATTAGGTGATTTTTAAATACGGAGTATAAATTAATAAAATAAGTTTTAAAATTATAACTTCATAATTAGAGGTTTATTGGTTGGTAACATAAAAGAATAAAACGTGAGTAAATACTTTCACAAAAAATGGATAATACTTACTCTAAGTTAATTATATTTAGCGAAAATTAGATTTAAAAACTTAATACTAAAAGGATCAGTCCAATAATGAGGCATTGGCTATAAGAAAGTCTTTGCAAGCATGGATTTACCTATGTATGGGAGGACGTCCCTTTGCTGTACTTGGTCCTATAAAAGCTGAAAGTCAACGCAAGTAAACAATTTAAAAAAATGTACTCAATAAATATATACACTCAAAATACAGCAAAACAAAAATGTACCTCGCTTGTAATGACTTCGGTGCATATCATCTTCTAAGTACACTGAGGCTTTCTCTGAACTGTTTTTCTCATTTGACTTTCCTGACCCACACAATGTGCCTCTTATTAAACAATAAAAATACCCTGACCCAATATTAACTTCAGTTTTGACTTTGCACGTATATTAAAAAAGAGACAATTATGCAATTGAAAATTGTGAAGAGAAGAGATAAATAACATTTCATACGAACCATGAGTTGTTCATTAATTATCATAAAAGAAAATAAAGTTTTTTGCGAGAAGGGTGAAAAAAGAAAGAATGGAGTTCACATTATGGCGGAGGGAGTAATTAAGAAATAAAACGCATTAAAAAATAAAATGCAAAAAGAACACAAATAAACAAATGTATACTTCGTATAAAGTAAGGAGTCCTCATCAAGTAAGACTAAGTGGCGGAGCCATAAATCTATGGTTAAGGAGGCTGGTCCTTAAAAAGTTTATAGTGCAGGGGTCAAAGTTTAAAATATAAACATATTTTCTATAGATTAAAAGTATTTAGGGAGAACTATCAAATAAGCCCTTGAACTTACATAAAAAGTGCAAATCACCCCTTATATAGGAGGTTCCGTCCGGCCGTCGCCATTTGGGGCGGTTCCCGGTGGAATTTTTTGATGAATTTTTTTTTTAGCATCTTATTCATCTTATTCATTAAGTCTAGTTTACGCCTACCAAATTTCAACTGGGAAGGCAGTCAAATGATTTTCTTGAAGAAGCCGAGGCCCCCTCCAGCCAATGGCGGATTTATGTTTCAAGTTTTAGGTGTTCATTTTTTTGTAGAATTAAAATTTGAAAGGACAAAAAATAATTAAATTAAATTTATACATATATACTAGTATGTTTTTCAAAATATTAGGTGTTCAATTGAACACTTTTGCATCATAGTGGCGGAACCTCCAGCCCCTCCTTGTCTCCACCCCTCCGTAAGAGCATATATTACTCCGTATATATATTAAAAGGTGCCTAAAGTGAATTACCGTGGTTGATATAATAATGTTTCTGATACTTTGGTGCTATGACAGCCAAGGAGTTTTGCATAAGTCCACTCCGGTCAATGAATTCTTGGTATGATCTTGATTTCTGTGGTCCATCAACAATAAAATTAGTAATCGTTATATATGGGCGGCAAGATAAAATATATGGTCAGCTGTATATATATATGGCACATCCCACATTTTTCACATGTAAAACTACAAAATCTAAATGCAATATACTATTCCTTCTATAAAAGAACTTCTTTTTTGAAAGGGGAAGTCTTAATTAATAAAGAATTTGAGAGAACGTGAACTAATCATCTGGACGGTGCAATTTTTCCTCACAGAAACACATATCAATTGAAACATGCTCCCTTCGCCCCAATAAAATATTAAAATTAAACTCTCTAATTTTGATGGTTCAAAACTCTAATTTTGATGGTTCACATAGATTAAGAAAGTGAAAATTATACAAAAGAAAGATCGAAAGAGAATAACCATGAAGTTTTTAACATACATACATGAAAAATGAGGTTTCTTCCGAAACAGACAGAAAAGATGCGATAGAAAAAGTGCCTAAGAGAAAGAGTAAGAATTAGATAAAACATATGCGAAAAAGAAAAAGTGATAAAAATAGGAAAAATAATTTGAAAAGTAAGTTAAAAGTTTCCAATATATTTTGAAGGCATTTTAAAAAAAACAAGGATTCTGAAGGCCGTAGTAATTTGAAAAGTTAGTTAAAACTTAAAACTTAAAATATACGGAGTATACGAAATCAAAAATGTTTTTTTTTTTTTTATAAAAAAGATGTTAATAAGGTTGAAAAAAACGAAAAACAGGTAACCAAACAACACTCCAAATAGTACAACCTCTTCTAATCAGATATTTCTAATCATTTTTTTTCTTTCTAAAATCAGTATTTTCAACATCATTTTACAGGGTGATTCGTTATTTCCTTTTTAATGACCCTATAGAAAAACCATCTATTCTACACTACTAACCTGTTCAATGCAGGAGAGTCGAAGTGTTGTAGAAGAAAACTCATCCACCTTTTCATCCAAAAAAGTGTCCAGTTTAGATGCCACACACCCTAAGTGATCCACTGTGCTAATCACTGCTTTGCTCAAATAATCCTTCAAGCTTTCCACCACTCTAATCCCAGTAATCGTTTGTTAAAACTCAAGATTTCATCCTTAAATATACTTTATTCATCAGCATCAATTTAATCTCACTTACAAACGCTGTTTCTGTACTTCTCCAAAAGACAACTCAAAATGCTCCGCTGCTGAGTATAATTGCATCCTCAAACACTTCAATTCCTACACACAGAAAGCAAGAAATCTGTATTTGCAGATAGAAGAACACAAAATATATGATTTCTGAAACACCCAGACCTTCAAACTATCAGTGAAGTGTATGCTGTGCTCCATAATGGTTTCATCATAGTTGGAAGTTCCTTCATGAGCATTTACTGGATAAGAATCACAAGATGAAGGAGATTCTCTTCCCATTTTGAAGCCACTGTTTTTCTCAGTCAGACTGAATGAGCATGTGAGTTTTGGTCAATCTGTAAAATCAATTTCAGATTTCTGCTCTGAATTGTGACCTTCAAAATCTATTGGAAGTGCAGAGTATTTTAGAGGGCATATTAAGGGACAAAGTATCAATAATGCATTGGGTAAGAGTGATGGCCAATGGGGTTGCTACAAGTCTACAACTAATTTGTAAGGCTCTGCAGGCAGGAGTGGTTGTGCCAGAAATTAATTAATTGATATTTTGGGTACTGAAATGCAATTTGTAAGACAGGGCGGACACAGTTTTTCGTTCCATCCAATACCTATTTTTAACATCTAGTGAGTGCCTAAGGTGTACTACTTGTTCTTGTTAGCCAAATTTGTTAAGTTGTACACCGTCCTAAAATCATTTTTTAATTTTATTTTTGTGAATATCTGGTTTCCATTTTATTTTCAGATTTTGAGTATCAATTCAAAACGGTTTATTAAAAATAAAAACGCCTCAATATGTTGAAATTGATAAATTTTTGACGGAACCGGGCGAATAAGACCAATCTGATAAATTTTGAAAATAATGACATATTAATAACCGAAATAAAGATTGAAGACGAAATGTAACCTCTTAAGTGTCTATTAATCAATTATAGTAATAACGCTTGATGCTTATTTTTTACTCCGTATTTAATTTTTACAATAATTAATGGACGGTGCCACTCATAATAACTTTAATGATAATTTTATCATTGAGTTAATGAGTTTTAATGAAGGTAATATTTTGCGAGAAAAATTAAAAGTATGATTAAATATGTTTTAGTAAAATATTCAAATTCATCAATTTCAACCCATTTGAATACTCCCTCCGTCCAAAAAATACTTCTCAGTTTGATTTGGCACGCTTGTTAAGAAAGTTGAAATATATGGTTTTGATTGAGTAAGAAAGAAATAAATAAATATTAGTCATACAAATCTTTTCTAAGTAGGAAGAATTTTTTTGGGCATCTCGAAATGGGAATGAGAACAATTTTGTGGAACATAGTGAGTACTCCCTCCGTCCCATTTATATTGTCCCTTCTTACCTTTTTGGGAAGTTCCACTTAAATTGTCTCATATCATATTTGACAAAGTTTGTGTGGCTCTAAATTATTCTTACTTTATTTTTACTTTATCAATTAATATCAACCAAACAAACCTATTTTTCTTAATAATCGTTTCATCCTCTTCCGGAACAATATAAATGGGACGAAGTAGTATAAGCTAAAACTGTCATAAAATGAATTGTAAATGAATTGCTGTCTAACATAAAATCACCCCACACAAATTTGTTCATTATTACTCAGAAGATTTTTTTCAGCCTCTTGACTGACTGAACAACGAATCTCGTGAGCAGAGAGAGGCCTGGAGTGGGAAGGCATAGGCAGCATTGGGCAGTGGCGTACATAGAAAGTGACACCTTTTTAGAATAAAACTCCCTATTCTAATGAGCTTTTACACGTGGTTTTAAAAAACTGGGAGTTACGGCGGAGAATTATACCAACTTACGGAGTACCAAGGAGAGAAAAATGATGCTCTATTGCTCTGTATGAATTACAGAGTATAGCAATAAGAAGATTAATGCGGAATAGAGGGATTAGACATTTAGTGATTTGGGTGATCGAAGCTAGGGCTTAATACTTGTACCTTCTTACGAGTGATATATATAACTTCAGGAAGACGTGGTTCGTGTTTCCTTATTTTCTTTCAAACTACCGAACACTTGCTCATGGATATTTGATTTGCTATAAAACTATTTTGGGGCTTGCATGCCTATGTTGTTGGCCGGTTGTGGCTTAAGACTTACCGTTGAATATTTCCGCTATTCATTGTTTTAAATGTGATGTTGTTATGTATGTTTACTACTGAGTAGGATGGATTGTTTTCTCGAACGCCTTGTATGATTAAATGAGGTTGACTCGTGGGTGATGTCACTTGATTATACAGCGGTTGTACACGCACTTAGATTACGGTCTGGGGCGTGACATCTTGAGTGAGTGAGTGCTTTCTTGAGAGAGGGGTGTGAGAGTGAAGTAGTTCCACATACAAAGAGTGACGTGAGCTACATGTTTACTTTTAAAATATCTCTCGTACATTTCAATTGTATAATACAAAGTGTTATTGTAAGATGGAGCCTTTGTATTACAAGTGTGTGGGTGAATGTACAAGAGTTCTTTGAGCTTGTGATCACAGAAGAGGTTGGGGGATCGTGTTTCCCCAACACTAAATGCTAGCAACAACATCATTTCTTCTTGGCCGGTTGGTATATTATTAATAAATAAATATTTAATCCTTTTTATGGACAAAATATTTTCATTTAATTTAACCACCAATCATAATTTTGTACGTGGAGTCTCACTGTGCGAAGGTGCCTCACAGGACTTCTCGCAAAGGTTTTTTGTGTGGCACTTTTGCCTTTTCGAAGCTTGGTCTTTTACCATCTTCTCTTTATGCGATTAATGTTAATAGCCTTCAACAGAATTGAAGGAGGACTTGCGTCAGTTAGAGTTGCGAGGTGTGGTATTTCAATGTTTACTTTGATGGAGCATGCGCTCACAGTGGTTGTTCCGAGTGGGACAAAGGCGGGTTGGGGTCCATTGAAAGGGGCAAATTTGGGTTCCACTTGACTAACTGGGGGTTAGCACGATTAATTTGGTCGATTCAGTGGGTGGCCGACTGGAGCTGGTTGTCATACGTGAAAGACAAAAGTCAATCAATGATCGGTGGAAAGACTGATGAAGAACATTCTGTTAATGGAGGTTGTCGATGGTTTCGAGTAAAAGATCAACAACGAGTCTTGTTTAGAAGGATGGAGTCAGGCTCGCATAGAGATTTATAACGAGAAGGGGTGTGCTTGGCTCTAGAAGGAATCAGTCCATCTATCCCCCAAAAAAGGAGACATGCAATGCAGGTCAACCTTGTGCGGGATTGTGAGACTGACTTCTTTAGGTGACCTCGAGGCCGACTGGAGAGTCTACTCTCTAATGCAAAATAAAGTGGGTGCATTGTAGCTGATTTGCCACTTCAAAACCTGGAATAAAGTCCACGACGAGGTCTATATTGAGTTCCACTTTCTACAAAGTCAAAAATGAATTTGTGGGCCTCCATGTATGTTCGGGCACCCACTTGCTTTTTTTCCTTTTTATTTAATTTTCTTTCTTGTTTCGTTTTATTGTTTTACACTTGCATTGTAGTTGTATTTGAATAGATCTTACGACTTTTCCATGTATTCTTGACCCACATTTGAAATACGTCCTCATTATTTTGGCATCTCAACATCAATGCACAACAACATTGGAGATGCTCTAAGAAAATTGAGTTTGTATGACTAATATAGAATTGATAAAACAAAAACAAAGTAAAAACTGATTATGAAACACACATATATTATCAAATCAAATTTTATACTCCCTCCGTTCCACAATAATTGTTCCATTTTTCACTTTCCGTCTGTCCCACTAAAATTGTATCATATCATATTTAGTAATATTTGTGTGATTCAAATTGATTCTTACCCCATTATTCTCACTTTATCAACTCATTATCAATCACATAATTTCACTTTTCTTAAAAATCGCAAAACTCCCTTCTGTCACAATATTATGACAGAGGTAGACTGAAACAATTTTAGTGAAACAGATAAAAAAGACATAAAATCTTAGAGAGACCGAGTGAGGATGTTTTCTTTTGGACTGTTTTCATTCCCAGACCAGACCGATTCAGACCAGATCAGACTAGACTTCTGTAATTATAAAATACACAGAGACCGTGCGTTTTCCAGACCAGACCAGACCGGATTAGACCAAACCAAACCAGATAATCAAATTTCAGTCCAAAACAAAACATCTTGAATTATACTGTAATTTATAACTATCAATAATGAATTAATTGAAGGTAAGGTTAGATTAGAGTCCATCCCAGCTCACTCATGCATTTTGGAAGTCATCCGTTTTCCCTTTCTTCTTAACCACACACCGTTTGTTTGTCTAAATAGGGGAGAGCACGGGTCGGGTTCGGGCGGTTTGAAAAACCAAAGACCCTATCGGGTATCGGGTGACCTGAATGGATACCCGATCCTATGCATTTAAATTAAAGTAATTTCGGGTTTCGGATTTTTGGGTTAATCTCGGGTGCGGGTCGGGTTAAATCGGGTTGCAGAATTATCAAAGAAAAACAGACTTTAATTACAATTTGAAGTTTACAATCAAACCATACTGAGTTTAAGTCCAAAAAAGTGAACGAAATGAAATATTTAAATGCTTGGGAGTTGGCCTTGGCCACTTGGAATTTGGGACTTTAAATACTGAGTTCAAACACATTACAATGTTTAAAAGTACAAACTTATAAAGTTATAAATGTTACAACTTCACAATCTGCCATTTCAAATTCTCCAAATAGGCAAAATCATTAATTCCCATTTCACACTTGAGTAGTTGTCTAGTTGAGTACTAAGTACTTGACCATTTGACCACTTGTCCACTTCCGAGCTTTAATATGCCAAAACTTAACAATTTCATTACCTATTTACTTGGATACAACATAAAATACATAAACAAGTATCAAATTCACAAAGAATTGAAGTATACAATGAAAAAAAATACTTGCAAGAAACAGATTAAGTCCTTTTACAAAATCAGAATTCAGAACTTCAGAAGCTCCCAAATGACTATACAATTATACATACAATTCATATATATCATACTGATATGTGTCATATATTATAATAGGGTCACAAGATACACTGAAAAAGAACATGACAATCCAATTCTGTTTCATATCAAGTCAGATTATATACAAGCTTAATAGCAGCATACCACTATACCAGATTACCAATAGAAGACAAACAAGTATCAACTTCACAAAGAATTGGAGTATACTATGAAAATAATACTTACAAGATACAGATTGAGCTATTTTTACAAAATCAGAAGTTCCCAATTCCCAAATGACTATAAAAGTTAATGAGATGGCTCAGAATGCTTATTATCATTCATAAAGGATAGGGGGCATCCGCTACCATTTCAGTTATCACTTAAGAACTGAAAGAGCAATACCTACCCTAAACCCCTTAGATTCAGTAATGAGTGGAAGCTTCATCATTGCCATATATATTACTTAATATATCATATATATCAGACTGATATGTTATTA